ACAGCACCACACCCTGCTGTTGGAAAAAAAAAAAAAAAAAAAAAAAAAACAGGATGCCAAAGATTGGGCAGCAGGATTGGGGTGAAAAATATAAGTTGCGGTTTAGCGCTGTGTAACTCTCCAGATGTGCAGCATTCACATTTAGCACAGCATGTGTCAGTCTTGTCAGTGCCAGTGTGACCGTGGTATCGTGCTCAGCATTGTTGCCCTCCTTCCTATAGAGTAACTTATAAAAATCCACTTGTCCATCCTGTTTTGTATTAAAAAAAAAAAAATCAGTGCTCCTCCACTTCGAAGGCAGGTTTTATTTTGATTTATGAACATTGCTTAAAAGCATTGCATTCAGGTGATGGCAGACAGTGAAGAGCACACAGGCTGTGTGACTGCAGTGAATGTTTCTCAGCGAGTTGTTAGAGGATGAAAAGCACCTTCCACTGTCACCTGGTCCACCCACCTCCTCAAGGGAGAATGGGCTGTTTCAGTGTCTTTCCTGATGGACACTTGGCTAAAGTGCTCTTTAAGACCTCTAGTGATAAAGAAACACACCCTCACCTCCTCCCTCCATACCCTGGTGAATTTTGTCTCTAGTATAGAATCTAAATAAGCTAGTGAGAAATTAAAAAGTAGAGGGGGAGAAAGTAGCTAAGACCTGTATTTCTTCACGGTCTGATTTTTTTTTACTATTATTTAACCTACTATTTAATGAATGCTTTGTAAACAATGGTGTTACTGACTTTGTGGTTGAGCAAGATTTGCAATTTAAGTGTTAATTAAAGCTGTTATCAAATAATCTGTTCTGCCTCTTCAGCAGTAATGAACATAAGTGCTTTCTATTTTCACAGTATTAGCTGAACTCCAAGTGAGTATCTGCATTTTCATGGCACTGCATATATAGTTTCCAAAATGGGACAAGACTTGAGAGGGGGCAAGACTGTAACAAATTACAACTGCTGTAATTTGTTAGGTAGTGTGGTCCATGGACAAAGCTCCAGAGACGGGAATCTAAATCATGATAGAAGAAGGTAGGAGGAATGAAACTGATGGCTGACGAGGCACAGCATGTGCATTCTAAGGGGTTTGTGCACAGAATGCATTTCTACCAATCTTGTGCACAAAGTGATGCTTAAACTTTTGGAGACTTGACCTAACAGTTTACACCAAGTCTTTGGATTTGTTTTAAAGGTGAAAGCATTGGAAAGTCAGAATTGAATTCTGAATGATATTTGTGTGTCAGTCACTATTGAAGAAGAAATTCTTTGTCTATGTCTAGTCCTAAAATATGTACTCGAAGATCTGTGAGAAAACTGCAGTGAATAATTATGGAATAATCTGCATGGGGAAGACATTTGTAACCTCCCTGAATCTGTGTCCCAAACCAATAAGATTTGTATTTTCTTTCCTAAGACCTTCTAAATTCTCATAGTTATTTACTGGGGTGTGGATTTATGTTTTAAAAAAAAAGAAAAAGAAAATCAGAGTTTAAATTCCCAAAGCATCTTACTTTTGTCTTAGGCTAAATAAAATCAAACTGTAGAGAAGTTGAAGCTTCACTGAAACTGCATTTTAAATTCATTTACGGAAACCATAAAAATGTCATCATATTTTAGCTGAGAGACAAGTCAGGATACAGTCTCTCTTGCAGTTTTGAACATACAGATGTAGCTCATGCAAGTAATTTCCTAATGTTAGTGTTGCATTCTCCAACTAACTTATAGCCCAGCTTATGGTTTATAGTGTCACGAGGTCAGAGAGAAGCATAAATTCAAGAATATTAAGAAGGAACTAAGATGTTGCTGACTTCACTGAGAGGAGATCAGGATTGAGTGTGATGGGTGGTAGATAATTATGCTCCTACAAGAAGTGAAAAGGCCGAGAAGAGTGCAGTTCTCCTTTCTAGAAGTAATGGTCCCATCTTACTTCTGTAGATGCAGGGCAGAATATCCATTCATTGAACATTGCATATGGCCATAGGAAACTGGTATAAAACGGCTGGCTAATGTCACTGCCAGATATCACTGATGTGGCCCTGCATAAAGGTGTGGGGGGAAAAGACATGGTAAGGTTTAGTACACTCTAACTATAAAAATAATTTGTGAAACAGGTGCTCTCTCAGCAACAGTCTTGCTGTACTGCAGAGGAGAAAGATGTAACTTTTCAATATAGAAAAATGATCTTCCTATCGATAAGTTGGGGCAATGGGAGGCAGATACCTAGAGGAGGCTGTTTCACCTTTGACTCCTGAAGGCACTGCTTATCCGTTCCATTCTCTCATAGATGAAGTAACTGCCAGCTTTCTGTGTCTAGCGGCTCGTTTTCAGCTAGAAAGGATTTAAGATTCACTGGAATTTGTGCTTTCAGCTTATTCCTCAGAGGAATCACTTTCTTGGATGCTCAGTAACACCAGCGTTTCAGGGCAGCACAGTTGCAGCTGGTGTGATACTGAGCTTCATTTAGCTAAATCTAGGTCTTGTCATGGGTTAAACTAGCTCCAGAAGGGCCAAGCAGTAAATGCTTATGCAGACAAAGCAAGCTGTTCTTTTGTGCCACACAAGGAGATTGTTCTTAGGTGTTAAAAAAACAAATAGCCCTTAAAACTCCCTTTCACAAATGGTAAGGCAAGGGAGAAAGTCCTCTAAGGAGGCACTTTTCCTGTTGAGGAGAATGGTGGTCAACAGGGTATGAAGCAATGGCTCAGAGCTAGTGCACTTGGTAATTAGTGTTATCAAAAAGAGGAGTGACAGTCCCGTCTTTCCACTCAATAAGGATCTCCCCATGCCTCAAGGAAGGCGAGCGAGATGGTGGAGTGTGTGGCTGGACACCTCTTGATGATGGAGATCGCTCCCGTAAGTCAGCTTTGCTGCTGCTCTCTGGGGAGCTCTTCAAAGCAGACAGGATTTTCTTCTTCCTAGAAGAGTGGAGAGGAGACTGTAGCTGCATATATATTTCTTCATATTGCTTAGTTTCTTGAGTTGCTGATATTCACTTTGCAGTAAAAAAAGATCAGAACAGGAGTTTTGAAAGAGATTTTTCGATGGGGCCCAACTCTTCTCAGTGGTGGCCAGTGACAGGACAAGGGGTAATGGGTACAAGCTGAAACACAGGAAGACCCCCCTCCACGTGAGGAAGAACTTCTTTACTGTGAGGGTGACAGAGCCCTGGCTGCCCAGAGAGGTTGTGGAGTCTCCTTCTCTGGGGATCTTCCAAACCCGCCTGGATGCCACCCTGTGCCACGTGCTCTGGGTGTCCCTGCTGGAGCAGGGGGGTTGGACTAGGTGGTCTCTAGAGGTCCCTTCCAACCTCAGCTACTTTGTGATTCTGTGACTTTGTGATCTGCTTGATGTCTCTGCACTCAAGCTGCACTCAGCAGCTGTAATGTCCAAATTCCCTTAACCCAATTACGAGAGTGGTGTAAAGGCAGGAGGAGGCGCCATTAGTGTTTGCATTTGATGGGGTAGTAAGCAGGCGGGAGAAGCAAGATGACAGAGTACAGAAATTAAAGACAGAGATGACCAGAACATCTGGTCAGAGTCAAACATCAGGTGTAGGAGTGGGGAGGATACTGAGATAAGGATTTTACTCTGAAATGGGAGGTGATAAATCAAAAGAATATTCCTCTTCACTTACTTGTTGTAATGACCATTCAGGGTCAGTATTATTAATCCCAGTATGAATGCCAAGGGGCTGAGGACTAGTATGGCTGTCTTCCAGTTGGTGCCTGAAAGGATATTGTATAAAAGAACAATGCTTTTGCCATAGCTCTTCTAATTCAGCACCTACTACTGCTGTAAAAAACACCCCTGCTGCAGAGCAGCGGAAACAGTAGAGCAGGAAAATTACTTAAATTCAGTACGTTATGGTTGCCCTGTTCCACCCAGAATTCATCTATTGAAATGGCCACTTGAGGTGTTGCTTTCTTGCTTGAAAGACAACTCTTGATGCTTCTTCACTGCAACTCTTTGATATGTAATAGAAAGGTAGGTGGAAAGCACCAGTGCTGGGCAATGTCATTTATTCTCCTCATGAACTGGGACAAAGCATTTACATGTTCTTGCTCACTTTTATTCTTCAGGCCCAGGCAGGTCTGTTTGATTATTAAAATAAATTTATCATGCGGTAGGTGTGGTGCTCCCTATTGAGCACTCGGTGTCCTCAGCTGGCCCCACAGGACTGTAACTCAGTCTTTGGTGGGTGGGTTGGGACACTCATGAACTTTCATCTGCTTTTTTTTTTTCCCCCTCCTTCTCTGGTTAATCTCTAGACCTACCTGCAAGCCTGGCCCCAGAGCTTTTCCCTCGATTTCCGTGGTGCCTTTTAGAATGACTGTGGGATGGACCTGGAGGAAAGATGGAAACATTCAGAATAGCGAATTCCACGGGGAGCTGTGGCTTCCTCGTAGATGCACAATAACCACAAAGACCCTTGGTATCAAGGTGGAAGGAGAAGGGGAACCTTCTCATTCATCAGTGTCACCCAGCCACAGAAATCTTGTATTCCTATAACTTCTGGTGGTGTGCCTCCAGGCTAAGACTAAGGTCATCACCAGATTGCTTGCCAGGGCAAATATCCCAACTTGTTATGTGAGAGCAGCCTCCAAGCACTTGGAAGTGGGTGTGGAAGTACTTCGGAAGTACTCAGGTACTTAGCCCCACTGGAAAAAAAAAATAGTAATCCTTGGGTCTTTCCCACTTTTTCCCTGCTGCTGTTACATATGTGTTTGGAAAAGCGCTCACCCTCGTTTGCTGGGAGGTGTGCCTGGTGAGTCTTCGCTGGAGATGCTGTGCTGTTGAAGTTGCTGGTCAGGAGCGGATCAGTCAAGCCTGTGGAAAGCTCCCTGTGCACAGCATGTGTCTGTGATGAATCGATGGTTTTAGCTTAGAAAGGAACAAAGTGGAGACGTGTATGGTTATTGCTTATTTTTTGTACAGACTTCTGGGTACGCAAGGGGTGGGAACCCAGCCTTGCCATGTTAATCCTGCACCCAGTAAGGCAAACAGGACTCAGTATAGGACCAAGCATCTCCTGTGTGTCAAGGACCTTGAGTTCTCACCAAGTTCCAAGATGATAAAGTGAGCTCCTTGGGACTGAAGCCACAGCCAGACAAGAGCTCATTTTTTGGTGGTAGGTAAGGTCAATTATGGTCTAAAAAACATTAATGCAGTATTAGTTGTTAAAGGATGAGATAGGAAGAAGAGGCAAGTAGAGCTATAGCTAAGCATCACAGGTGTTGCCAACACAGTAGATAAAGAAATGTGTGTGGTAAATAGTTCATATCTCTATGGTTTCAGAGATATCAACTGTTTTAGGTTTGGTTTCAGGTATCAACTGTTGTTGATAGAGTATTTGAGAAATCCCTGTTTCAGTCATTTCTGCTGTCTGAGAAGGTCATGGTTGGCATAGAGTCGGTAGCCTTGAGAAGACCTTCCCTTGGGTGGACTGTGAACCATGGAGAAAGCTATTACTGTGCACAACCCACAGTGACAGGCAGAACATGGTTTGAGGCCTGCTCTGTGTTTTTATGCTTGTAGCCGTATTTGTGGAGCCTGGCTCCAAAGGAGCACTGGCATGCCAGGAACATTGCCTTGGGGAATGTATAAACTCTTTTCACATGCCTTTTCCCCATATCTTAAATGTTCCAAGTATTTCCTAGTCTATATTTAACTAACCTATTATAGTAGCTAATTTTTATTGGCTTTATTTACCTTCATGTTAGACACTGACATTTGTGGCTACTGATCTGTGATAATTACCTGTTAACCTTCTAGTTAACTAATTGAAAACCTGAGTAAAAAGGCCATCTTGTTTGCACATTGCAGCCAAGAAAGCTATTGTATCTCTCTTTCCAATTAGATATAGCCTCTTTGTGTCAAAAGGTTTTACTTGTAATCCATCTGCTTACGCCAATAAGATTAATCATGTTTTCTCTTTACTCATTTCTGCAAAACCTAAAGATCAGTGATGAAAACACTATTTGGGTATGATAGGAGATAACTTTTATATGTTGCTCTGACTGAAGGAAGAATTTCTCATTTCAAGTATAGCAGCTCCTTAATAATTCAAATTAGTTTTAAAAAGATTCTCAGCTGCCTCTAGTTTTTTTGTTACTTCAAATGACATCCAGAGGCACAAAGTATGAAAAGGCCTCTTCAAAGTCTAGATACCTAACCATAAGACTTCCACCTCAGCTGTTTTGGAGTTAGGACTCTCAAGCAATTCACACAATTCTTAGCTTTGGGTACTGATTCAGACCAGCTTTCCAAAATATTTGAATTTTGATGCATTCTTTCTGCAAAACACTGAACAGCAGCTACTAAGAAGTGGTGGTACAGAAGTGTAGGTGGGTTAGCTTTGAGCCTTTTGGTATCTCTTCAGACTTGGCCAAAGTCACCATGAGTTAGGATGGTGAAAGTAAGCGTTAGGTGGGTACTAGGTGTTGATGATGCCTAAGGTTAGATGTTATCAGTTGCTAAATCTCCCTCATCTTACTTTCATATATCCAGATGAGTCTGTCTACAGCTGCTTGTGTTGGTTCACCAGGCCTCAGAGTTTCTGCCCAGGCAGCAGCACAGATGGTTTCATCTGCTAATGTCTTCCACTTACTGAACTTATTTTTCTCCTTTGAGACAAAGACCTTGTGGCCTCCTTCCTTGGTACTGAGGTGGAAGCCCAGGCTTTGCAAAGTCAAGTGTCCCTTCTTGCTACAGGCCCATACTTGGCGTTCCCGGTTCCCACAGGACTCCAGCTTGACCAGTGAGTACTCGTGTGTCTTGTGGGCCGACAAACACTGCTTCGTTTTGAGGCTAACGATGGTCTTGGTGGCAGGGTCCCAGCTCCACCGCTGCTGCTGGGAGTGCAGCTTGCAGTCGCTCAGGCCGATGCCATCAGGCTTGTGGTGGGAGACATGGATGCACTTTTGCAGGCGGGTGTTCTTTATGAGGAAGCCTTGCCCCTCTGATACTGCGGTACAATCAGAGCACGGTTTAGTACTGTATGTGTCCAAAGGAAACACATCTTCTGAGCACAAGATGTTTTAGAGGCCCATGGGAGAGGGAGACTTAACCCACCATTCCTTTGGCAATCATGTGCAGACGGCATTACCCATATCCTCCTAATTTGCTGAAATTACATCTGTCTCTGATCTGGACTGCGTACAAATAACCAGGAATGATACTAGAGAGAAATACCTGTGACTAGCTTACTCATATGACTAATGGAGAAAACATCCCTATCTGTGAAAGACTGTACTTTTGTGATATATGTCTTTAATATTTAATACAATATTTCAACTAGCTAAGGTTTTTTAAATAAGTACTTGTCCTTCCCTACCCTCAAATATAAGTGGATGGTTTGTTTCCCCATCCCAATCTGGATCCTATCTTTCTTATGAAAAATAATTGAAATTCCTCAAATCTACAGATGCTTATCTAGGTCATCAAGTAGGCCCCCTTGGGCTATTGTTTACATTAGGTGGTTTCTTGTGATAGTACAGCAACATCAGGGATAAAACCCATACTGCTTCAGACGTCTGGAAGTACTTGACTAATTTGACTTGTGTAAGTATCGAAGTAAAATTGCATTTAGTGTATCTGACACTGGTCTGTATTACCTCAACACAGAGGTACCATATTTAAGGAATATCTTTGTAAGAGAGACCCTAAATTCATCCTATAATGGGTATACAGTTTGAAGCGATTTCTTAGTTACTTGCTGCTTAGTTAGATCACAATGGGGCTCATCCTGGGCCTTTGATAACTTGGGATGGATATCATCCTGTTAGCTGGGAAGCTGCATCCATTTTCACTGTAAAATCAACGGATGTGGCCTCAGAACATCCCGAACAAAATATCAAATGCTAAGTCATGTGTCATTGACACAGAGGTACCATCGATTGTGTATTTTGTGTCTAATTTAAACAGGGAGGATTAGAAATAAATGATTCAAGTTTTTGCTACATTCCTTTTGGTTTTAATTACCGTTAAAACACCACAACTTTCAGCTGTCATTGTGAATTTTTTTTACTCTTTTCCCCAAAGGTCACATTTTGAAGAGCACCATCAGCGTACCATGTTGAGGGCAGTAAGGGAAGAAAAATGACATTAGATGAGAACAGTGATGCTTATCTAACACCTATTTCTGCAGTATTTCCCCTCCCAAAGCAAAGAACAATACTTTCTCCTGGCAGCATGTATTTGGCTCAGTATCTGCAAAAGCTAATGTGAGTGTAAACAGGAGCCAGTACACAATGTCAAGGAGAGGAACAATAGTTTAAAAGAGCTCCCGTGTTTTCTCAGGAAATCCTAGGGGCCTGCTGGACTAATAGCTCAGGGCTTTTTCGTTGGGTCTGACTGTGCAGGGGAGGCAGCCAGAATTCACAGTATTCACAGACTCCTACAGTGGATGGGAATGAAATGAGGATGGATGTGTCGATCTTGGGGTACTGCTCTTCATGGTCCTGGGGAGACACTGATCCAAACAATTCCTGCCAATCCTGTGTGCCAGGAAGAAAGTTTCTGTCAGCACATCTGCTACATAATCTCACATAATCTCTAGATAATCCACAGGCACAAGTACATTTTTCTAGATTTCCTGCCTTGTTTTTTCTTTTTTAGGAGCCAGAATCCAGGATTCACAGAAATACTTTCCTTCATCTTAATTGGGAGTTTGTTTTGTCATAATTTGTAGTAATGAAGTAAACACTGCATAGAAACATTAGTATAAGGAGCAGGAGAACTATACTGAGTCAGACAAAACACTTGCAAGCCCTGATATCCTATTTCCAGTACTGGGCATTAGCAAATGTATAAGGGAAGAAGACAAAAATCAGGCTAGAAAAGAGCTCACTTGAGAGACTTATCCAGGTATTTATGGGTAGAATTGCTTTTCTGATGTATATTACATTGTTTTTTCCTCACAGAAGTTCATTAATCATTTTGCTGTTCAGTCAGTGTCATGAGCTCCTTTTGCAGCTCTGCACAGTCAACTTTTGTTTGATTATCCTGAATAATTTTGAACCATGAGCAAGCATCATTACTTTATTATTCACACCTTTTTTCAAGATTACTATCAAACTATCTGATTTATATAGGCACCTGCTGACACCTTCCTGCTGTTGTCTATTTGTCTATTTATTTGATCTCCTTGTGCGTTTTTATTGTTGTTGTTGTTTTAGTCTTTAACCATTTAACTGCCTATCTGAGAAATCTCTCTCTTACTCTCTCAGAACTTAGTCCCCAGTGGATGAATCTTATTAAAAGTCTTTTGCAAATCCAAGGACCAGATCCAGATCAGCTCACAACACATACGAGCAGATTTATGCAATTGTTGATGAGCCCTCCACGAAAACTGTGTAGACTTCTCTCACATTCATCTGTGCATCTTTTAACTTTTTTCTCTGTTACAGCAGAGAACTGTTTCTATTTGATGCCTTTTGAAGATGGCAGTTGTTGCAATAGTTACCACAATCCCTTTATTTGTTTATTAAACTTTATGCAATAGCTTATATTCATCTTAGGAGTTCAAAAAATGAGAGAGATTCATCCCACTGAAAAGCCAAGGCAGCCTTTCTATGCTGGAAATCCATGTGAGCTGAGGAAGCTCAACACTGCAACATGAGAGCCGCAACACAAGGGCTTTTCTTTGAGTTTTGTACCACTCATCAGTAGCATGTGACACCAAACTATTAATAGAATTTTATCTTCACATTGTGTTGGTCTAGCTAAACATCGCTTGGTTCAACATTACGTGAGAAACTGGCAGCAGAGCGGGGGCTA